CATGAGCTATCATTGCCCAAATATGACCAAATCACATTTGGTGTAGGTACCTTTCACTTTGCTGATTAATGAACATATTTAATTATAGCTTTCCTAAATACCTTTCGTACTTATCATAGGCATGTTTGTACCATCCTGTGTGCTTTTCATATTTGTTGTACTAGTTGTGTACTAATCGTGTCCTTCTCGGGATGTTCTCCAAAGTTTTTGATGCACACTGTTGCCTTCCACCAAACTTCAATCCTGTGCCTTTTAATTCCTACTGCTCTAGGCCTACCACATAGCCTGCACCCCCAGGTTTATCCAGCGGGTGGTTAAACATATCCAGGTTGTTCCTACTGAAAACTCACCAAGCTCACAGACTGCATCTGTGTGAGCACCCGAGTAGCATGGGTGAGATAGATGGGGTCAGTGACCTCCTTTCTGGGGCCCAAGTGGCAGTCCCAGCACCGTGTAACAGTACTGGATAACCTTGTCTGTTGACCAAAGGATAGAGGAGGAACTTGGCACACTTGTGCTTTTCCTGTATTGAGGGAAACCCCTTGCTGTTATCCATCCAGGACCTGTCTCACCTCCTGGAAAACCCCAACCCCAGTGCTCAAGGACTGCTGCCTAGAGCAAGAGAGCTAAGGTACGTGAAACCAGGGAACATCCCAGTGTGGGGTTTGATCCAGAGCTGTCATTCTGGATCCTAAAGCAATCACCTTCCCCTCCACTCAGAGCAGTTTCTGTAACTTCTCTACAAGTCTTGCTTACTTCATTTGTCCTGGCATTTGTTTTCATACAGCCTTTTATCTCCAGGGAATGCTCCTCTAACTCAGGTTTTTATATAGAATAGTACCTATGTTCTGCATGACCCTCATGGGTTCTGATTATAGTTTGGCGTCTTGCAGGTGAAACTTTTGTTCTGGGAGATTGTCTCCCAGGTTCCCTAGAACCTCGCCTGGACCCAATGGACTCTGCCTTGAACGCTGTCAACTCATCTAGCCCCAGCAGGAACTCCAGAGACTACCGCTTGCAGGGATACAGGCATCTACACCAACCTTCTAGTCTCACTCAGGGGAATTCATCTGCCTTGCGTAGGCTTAGCTCTGGGGGTAAGAAAGCTAAGAAGCCAACCCTTCAAAGCTCTTAATTTGTCACTATGGTGCTTTTCTTGTTCTAGTTACAACTTTCCAGTGTTACCAAGTATGATAGACTGGCCTCTACTTTAGGCAATGGTTTTTTGTGATGTCTTTTATGGGAACAACTCTATAGTTGGGGGAGAAGTTTGACAAGTTTTGGGGAACAATGAAAGATACCTCAGGAAAACCCTTGTCCTTCGTACATTTACTGGCCTCTGCACTGACAATTAAGCAGGTAATTTACTGACAGACAGTAAATTGGAATATGGACAGGTCAGTGGATGGTACTCAGAGTCTTGGCTCAGCCCAAAGATTGTATGGGGATGTCAAGGTCAGCGAATAAAGGGGTAATGCTGTGTAGCTACACAGCTAGGGATGTAGGTATGGGTTAATGAATTGGGCAGTGTGTATAAGCTGCTGAGATAGCTGAATGGATTAGAAGTGGCCAGTGAGATGAAAATTGACTGGCTGATTTGATTGGGGTAGGTGCCTAGGCAGTGATTGAATAAGGTAGGGCTGATGCAGTTTTTTATAAAGCAGTGTGTGGGACAGGAGCATTGATGCTAATAATTTCATTAAATCAGACTGTGCACAATCCATGGATTTGTAATGAAACAGTGTGATTTCATGTGCACTACCTCACCAGAGCTATTGGGGTTAAAAACAGAAACAACGCACTACACAAGATTTTCAGTCCCTCCTCCTAGGCAAGGTAGATAAATAACACCAACCAAAAGATTCAAAATACCTAGGGAGTAAATAGGGAGTGACACTTCAAGAAATAGGTGTTTTATTAGCAGGTAAGCATTTGAAGGGAGCAGCATATCACAAAGGGACTTGCCATACTAGAAACTTGTTATACTAGAAAAAAATGACAGATCCATGACAAAAGTTGCAGGCAGCACCAGTCTCTTGCATTTCCTGGTCTGGGACTCCCTGCATGCCCTTTCAAGGTCCAGGCACTTGGGCAGCCAGGAACACTGCTGTTCAGCTCTTGCTGCTGGGGCAGGTTGCACACAGCTGTCTCCTCCAGTGAGTAGAGCTTCCCCAGCCCTACACAAAGCACTGGAACAGCCTGCTGGGAGTCCCATCAGGTGGCAGTGAGCAGAGCTGCTCAGCAGAAAGCACAGGATCAGCCCCATGTGAGCAGCAAGGGTGAGCAAGCTCCCTGTGAGCCTCCCACAATAACAGGGACTGCTCAGCAGTCTGCCCTGCCTGCTCAGCTCCTGCCCCCACTTGCTGGGAGCCCCTTGCCTCCATACAAGCTGCAGTGTCATGAGCTGGTTGGGGGGTACACACACCTGACAGCATGGATGATGGGGTTGCTTGCAACCCAGGAATTTTAAAAGGCTGCTGGTACTCAAATACCAGCAGTCCATTAAGCCACCAGGACCTTTAAAGGGCCTGCAGGCAGCTAGAAACTGGTTCCTGCTACTCTTGGGTTGCTCTGGAACCAGGAACTTTAAAAAGCTGGCAACCCCCTCCCTGCAGTGGGAGATACGGGACAGCCAGCTATCACCGCCTGACTTTAGATAGTGCCTTTGTGGCAATTTTGTTACTCCAGCCTCTCTAAGGGGCTGTACACATGTAGCCGCCCGCAACACTTGTAGCGCTACAAACTTTGTCAGGGCCCTAAGATTGCAGAATTCAGCACTCAGAAGATGGAAAAAGTGAAGGGTGAATATTCATCCTTCACTCTGTATGTGCATGTATGTTCCAATGGCATCTTTGATAATGCATATACATTTTAATATGAAGAACTGCAGTCTGGAATATTAGATGCATGTGTGCCTTGAGGTAAGGTGTGTTTATATTTGACAATTGCATCATAATATCACTGCTCAAAGAGGAGAGACTTAAGTTTCATTCTTTACTTAGCATATCCTGACTCTTGAGTGCTTAAATATGCAATCATTTTGTTATTTAAACACATTTTTGTATTTAATATTTTTAAAATTATTTTTATCAAAAGAAGTTTCTAGGGGCCAGATCCTACTGGGTGTTTAGGTAGACTTAGGAGCCTAGATGCAATTCTGTTCCCCAGTTCACATCCCTGAAAATCCGTATTACGTTTAATTTTGTAAAGTACTATCACCTAACCCTTAAAACAGAGTAACAAAAAAGCAATGAAGAAGAGGACAACCTGTCCACCTTTGCTTTTACAGGTTTTCAGGAACTCAAACAGACTTGCACATAGGCACCTAAATCCATTTAAGTGCCTAATAACTGGAATAAAATCTGGCCACACATCTTTTACATGCACCAGTTAGCTGAGAGACTAGTATGGATAGGTAGCGAAGGGCAAAGAGATCTGAGATCCTGCTAGCTAGGAGCCTGAAAGTGCAGGAACTATCAGCAGTGAAACAGGAGCCAGTCAAGGGACATCGACAGAATGATAGGCAAGGAAGCGGGCCTGAAAAAAGGTGTGCATATGTCAGAGATGCCAGTTACTAAAATGTGAGTCACCAAGATGCTAATAAGGACATTCTGTCAACAAAGAGGGAGTTGTCAGCAGTATTCAGAGTAGTAGGCTTAGCACAATGAGGATGGATCTGGGGTGTGGAGAGGCTGTAATATCATAGCAAGAGCAGCTGCAAATAGAAGGCATATACCTGGAGGTAGTGGCAAGGCTGGTGCGTGTGATGAATCAGAATGGAATGCAAAGGAGGGAGAAGGAGCAGTAATTGAAAAGGCAGCTCTCAGAATGGCAGAGACCAGAGTATGTGATGAGTATTATGGGAAGGTGTCAAGGGTAAGTATGAGTGAGAAAGGAGGTAAGCACTGGGCAAGGAAAGATGGGGGGCACTGGGGAAGGTGGAGCCAATGGCAGAGGTCAGTTAACCAAAGGAAAGTGCTGGAGGAATGCAAGTGAGTCTCATTTGCTGAGCTCTGCAAGAGGAGGTTGCTTAAGTTCTGGTGGAGTGTGCCCCTTCTGTGGTCTGTTAATGTTTCAAAAAAAAAGGCAGGGTGGGGAGTAAGTGGAAACATGGAGGAAAGTAAATACTTTGATCTGAAGACCACGATTCATGTAAGCATTATGCTAACATCAGCCTGGAGTTTAGTTCACAATATAGCTGCTTCTCTCTTGCTATTGATCCATTTAGGTTCTGATAGATACCTAGGACCTAGAGACACTTCTCGGCTGAACAGCAGAGACCCTTCTTCCTGGACAGTAGAGGATGTGATGCAGTTTGTACGAGAAGCTGACCCACAGCTGGGACCCCATGCTGACCTCTTTCGAAAACATGTAAGTATATCCATGTGTGTGTGTCCACTTAGAGGTCCAGATTCTCGCTTCATCTCAATCCAGTGAAGTCAGTGAATCTATGCTTACTTACACTGGTAGAAGTTCTCATTCACAAGAAGAATCCCCAGGGATTTCTCTTCCTGTTACACAAACTCGCACAATTTGTAGAAATTAAAACAGAAAAGCCAAGTTAGACCCTGCAACCCTGGTCTCTAGACTCAGGCAGAATCACTTTCCAGTGCACGTTTACTTCCCCAAAGTGCTTAGAAGGGAAAAGCCTGGCTTGGCCTCCGTGATAAATAACATCCTTTCCTGTGTGGTCAAAGATAACTAAAGATATCTGAACTTCTATATGAATTCCACAAGGTACAGGACAGATCCCTGACAAGCACCCCTGAGTGGCACACAAATTCTGTGTGTTTACAGGCTGTGCAGCTTGCAGTGGGTAGTGAAGCCCATGTCCACAGCATCACAATTACAAGCCTCTGCCCCTTCAGTAAAGTAAGTAGCAATTCATTTTAGTCCTGGAACCTTCAAATGTCCCTCTCTGCCAGGGAGATGTATATCTGTCAGTTAATCCCATAGAGCAAATGCTATTAAAATTCAAAGTGACTGGTGGGGTTGGGGGGGCCTGTTCCTGATCTGTATGTCTTTGTGTGTGTCTGCTTAGTGTTAAGCATCTGCATTAGTTCAGGAAGGACTTTATACACATAGAAAGTAGAGGAAGAATGACAATTTCAAACACAAGGTTCCAGCAGCTTGTTTGTCTTTGCCTTTATTGCCTGTAGTACTTTTCATGTAATGAATGGCAAAATTCACACAGCTGGGAAAACAGGAGGAAAAAAGATTCCAGATGGACTTGAATCTGCAAGGTCAGAGTATTTTGATCTTACTCCAATAGATCACTTAAACATGCTGAACTTGAAACGTGTAGTCACATGAGAAGGCAGTAAGGATGTCCATTAGCTAAAATTTCAGCATGTACTAAGTGTTCTTTTGGTAGATT